TAATTTATTGAACAATACAACTATAATATTGAATTTAATTTTTTAATTCAATTAATAATTTAATTATTTATTATATGTAAATTTGATTTTTAAAAAACATGGTAAATTACTAGTAAATTACTAATAATTTTCTATACGTATTATTAATAGATAAACTTAATCTATTAAATATATCTATAATATATTGACATTTACCCAAAAAAATAAGATTTAAATATTTATTAAAATTTATTTAATAATAAGTATATTGAATATAAAATATTTATTTTGCAACAGATTTTATTTCTATAAACATTTTTGTTGTTAAAATTATTTATATAAATATTTCTATAAAAAAAATTATATTATTAATAAAAAATTATTTACTATATAAATCATTTATATTTAATATATATATATTTTTAAAAAATTCAAAGATTACTAAATATTTACAGCAAAATTAAATGCTATTTTTCAATACTAAATTTATATTTACTATATATATATATAAATTGTATTAGCTATACAAACTTTTTCAACAAATAACTTACATAATCCCAATTGAATTATATGAGATTTTATTTTTAAAAAGTTATGTCATATATCAATATAGTATATATATATATATGTATATATATTTATATATTGATCTATGTCATCAATCATTTTGTTGTTATATTTTATCATTTTTTAATATATACTACTGTATTTAATATTGTATAATAAGTTATGTATGAATTGTATATTTAATTTTTTTTTTTGATGACAAGTCATGGTATATACTATATATACAGTATATTAAATTGGAAAACAAAAATAAAACTATCAATTTATTGACGTGAAGTGATAAGTGGGTAATGAAAATGCATTTTTTATCTAAAAAAAAGACATCAAACTTATTATTTTATAATTTTATGAGCATATACTTTATATATATAAAAAATGGTGATCACATACACACACACACACATACACACACATACATACACATACATACACACACACATACACACATACACATACACATACACATACACATACACATACACATACACATACACATACATACACACACACATACACACACATACACACACATACACACACACACACACACACACATCACAGAGACAGTCAAACCATATCATTGACATTATTAGCAAATAGATGAGTAGAGAGAAAATCCATAGCATAGATATTAATAGCATAGGGATAGTACTGTACTGTAGTTACCGTATAGTATGGTATAACATATATTGATAAAAGTTTTATCCTATTATATCTATCTATCAGTGCATTGATTCATAACTCTATTGGGGCTAACTATAAGTCATTCACACACACACACACACACACACACACACACACACACACACACACACACACACACACACACACACACACACACACACACACACACACACACACACACACACACACACACACACACACACACACACACACACACACACACACACACACACACACACACACACACACACACACACACACACACACACACACACACACACACACACACTCACTAAAGACAAATCATTTAAAAGCTCACATTTACTTATTTTATCACTCACTCACTCACCCACTCACTCACTCACTCACCCATCGGAGACATAGATTTTTAGTGTTTATAACTTTATATTCTTGTAGTGAAATAATTACTTTATGTGCTGTTCAAGCAATTTATATGTTGTTAGATATCAATGAGATGTACGACTACTACTATTATTATTAGTATTACTACTACTACTACTACTACTAATAATAATAATAATACTGTTATTACTAATAGAAATGTACAGTACTTTTAGTAATTCAATGACAAAATTGGTTTAAATTCTATTAAATATACTCTACTGTATGTAATATAATGTATTTTTTTTCTCTCTCTCTCTTTATGTGTGTGTCTATGCTTAAAATCAAATGGACATACGCTATGGGACCACAAATATTATATTGTAGTCGACACACACACACACACACACACACACACACACACACACACACACACACACACACACACATACACATATTTATATATATACAATTTTGAACATATTTATAGATAAAAACTTTTATTTTTATCAATTATCAATGTTTAAGTAAATTAGTTTTTTAACATTATAAAAGTTATATATATATATATATATTGTATCTAATATACTGAATGATGAATCTCAAATCTAAAATAATTATTATTGCTTATAATTTAGCAATAAACTTATTAAATACATTATGTTATAGAAACTTATATCAACTATTATCTAATATCAAATGTTTATTATACATATGCTTTTAATTATACATATATGTAGATTGTATTGATTTATATTATCTCATAAACTCTATTTACTGTATGTGATGTAATTATGTATAATTAATAGTTTATTATTATTATTGTTATTTTTTATTTCCTATATATAATAAATTGAAACAATATTTATAAAAAAAAACAATTTTTTTGATATAATATTTTTAGACAAATAGGTATAGGAAAACTATAAAAATATTAAATATTTATATATATATACAAATATATTATATAATATAGATTAGAAAATGTAATTTATCCTATGGTTTATCATTTATTTATTAATTTATCAAAAATTAAATGTAATAATTACTGTATTTTATTATTTGGATTCAAATACTACTGTAATTAGTAGATTGAAAACTATAATTGTAATCAAATGAATGCAAAACAAAACAACAAAAATTGCAAATAAATAAAAAATTTTTTTTATTTTGTTTGTTTATATGCATGAATGCTTGAATCTATTATTTTTGTTTTATTTTGTTTTTTGTTTTGCTATTTATTTATTTATTTTTTTTCCACACAAACCATTCAACACTTTTTTTACTATATCTTGTATACACAGTATATATATATATATACAGTATATTATAGCTGATTGAGAGATCAATGAGCTTAGAGCTTATGATTATTATCAGATCAATTGATAGATTTGATTAAATGAAAAAATATATAAACAAAATATATATCTATAAAATTTTATTGCTATTTATTTATTTTAATTTATCATAAAAATTTGATTTTTAAAAAAATAATAATATATTAAATATATTTTTTTAAAAAAATAATAAACTAGTATAACATTAAATATTTAAGTAAAACATATATTTAAATAATTAGGTTTAAATATGTTTAATAGAAATAAAGTTAGAAATTTTTATTTATTTATATAATATATCATTTTATTTATAAATAAATTGTTACATTTTAATTAATAACAAAATTTATTTTAATTTACAAACTAATTTAATTATTTTTTAAAACAAATTTTAATATAAAGTTATTTTTATTATAATAGTAGTTATTAGAAAATTATTATATTATCAATTAATTAATATTTTGTTGTTAATAACATATTTTATTGTACGTATAATTAGTATTTTAATTTTGATACCGATTTATTAACAATTAATTAAAATTATTATTATTACTTTAAAAAATAATAAACTTAATAATAATAATAATACTATTATTGGCATAAAATATGCACTTAAATATTTAATATAATATTTGATATATATTTATAAAATATACAATTTATAATATAGATACATATTTTTAGTTTTTTTTAAAAAAAGTTTGTTTTATAAAATTTTTACAAAAAAACAATCAGTCAAACAAACAATACATTAAACAATTTACAGTATAAATAATAACGATTTATTTTATTATAAAAATGCTATTTTAATGTTGAATAATAAAAAATACAACGAGTTTTATATATCTATTAATGTTTATACATATATTTTATTTGTTTTTAACATAAATGCATTTTTGAAAATAATTTTGTTTTTGTTATTGTTGTTATTTTTTACATGTAAAACATTTTTAACAGTTAAAATATTATTTTTGTTATTTAGCAATTTTATTATTTAAGTAAAACACAATTATAATTTTTAGTTTTTTTTAAAAAATAATTATTAATTATTACTCAACTATTTTAAAATCATTATTGTATAATATTATACAATATATAAATCTATAACATTATATATGGAAGCCATTTACGAATATTTACATTATATTTATTAATTCAATAACTAATTATTTCATAAGTTATTAATAATTATTAATAATTATTGTTTTTTTATAAAATTCAGATAAGTTAAAAAACAATTAATTTTTAATTATATATTTAACAATATATATTATATACTAATATTTTTATATATTGTTTTATTATAATATAACTCTAAACTATCACTTTATATATAAATTTATATATATATATTGCGATTTATTGTTTATTTTGTTGTTTATAATTTTATTTTTTTTGCTGATTTATTAAACCATCAAATTATCGGTATGTAAAATAAATAAAAAAAATTAAATTATAATATTACACATTATTAAATATAATAATATTGTTATATAATTATATTAGAAATTGATTTTTTTATATACATTTAGTAAATACAGATATTGATAATCATAAATTTTAATTATAAATAAAAACATTAGTTTACTATTTTGTTAACAACACATTTAATAATACAGAATATTTTCTGGAAAGTGTACTAAAATAATATTATTTTTTTATTTAAAAATTACTATTTTCTAACTAAACATATATTTGAATTATAATAATAAAATATAAACATTAGTCTAATAACAAATTATTATTACACTATGAAATTTACTAAATAATAAAAAATTATTGAGCATTTTAAAAAAACAACACTGGTCAATTTGACAAATTAAAAAATAATAACAAAAATATTATATACTATTATAACTATTATTTTTGTTAACTAATAATTGTTAAATTCTGTAATATTTAAAATAATAAAAAATACAATTTTTAAAAATTGTTAACTTTACTTACCTTAATTTTTTGGCATTAAAAATTATATATAACAATTTTGTTATATTTATTATTATTATAATAGTTGTTATTAATATTTTTTATATACTATTTATTAGTATTATTATTATTATTATTAGTTAAAAAATTTTATTTTTTTTGAGATCACTTTCGGCAACAAATAATCTTTTGAAACGCTTTTCTAAAGTCACGATTAAAACCACAATATATTAAGGGATTGAGCGCTGAGTTGATGTAACTATTAGTTAATAAAATAAACAAATAAAACATTAATATATATATATATAAGTAGTTACGACATAAGGGTGACGGAAGGGGAAAGCACAGTGCTTTCCCCCATATAACAGTATGACGGAGAATAGGTGACGGAGATCACGTGACTCCACCTAACCTAACCTAAGTGTACTACACCAATGACGTCACCACTACCTCTACCTGAACCTTACCCGAACCTAACCTGACCAACTACCCGTACTGATGACCAACTACCCGAACTGACCAACCACCCGAACTGACCAAATACCCGAACTGACCAACCACCCGTACTGACCAACTACCCGAACTGACCAACTAACCGAACTGACCAACTACCCGAACCTAACCCAACCTAACCTAACAGACCACCTACCTAAACTGACCAACTTACCGAACTGGTCAACCTTCCGATGTATTAGCGGAGAGGGGATAGCGGAAATCATGTGACCTAACATGAGTGTAGATGTAAACAAAATAAATATAAATACATTTATTTTTAAAATAATATTTATAATTTATTTACATTTTATTTATTTACAAAAGCGTTCATTAAATATTTTCTCTCTAAAATTTTTATCTAATACATATGATATATTTTCTTCAATTAGTTTACACTTATATTCATGAATACGTCTGTTAAAAACTATCCAATGCCAGTTAGATATACGAGCCTGTCTTGAAGCATATGACCAAACATACATAGTCTTTATCTGTATTTTGTCATCAAATCTAACTTTCTTCATATTTATTTGTTTATTAAGTAATCAAAGTATTTAAACATAAACTCTTCATATAATTCATTCAATGCTTTTCTAGTATAAACACCAGTCAATATCATTTTCCCTTTTCTAGTGAGAGTTATATGTCTTTTATTACCACAATTGATCCTCAAATGTGGAAATATTTCCAACTCATAATTACTGCTCCAATTAAATTGATTCATCAGTTTCTCTACATTCAAGTCGTTTTTCAGGTTATGTGACGCAGCAATGTTAGTCACACGTAAGTTATGTAATTTGATATCATATCCGAGTTTTTGTATTATGCGAGCAGTCTTTCGTAATGCTATTCGACCATCATTTTTTGATTTTGCACCCACACATACTAGTTTACCAGAGTCGTATATCATAACCGTGGCATTAGGGTTACGATACCGTTTAATTACTCTCACAAATGGGTAATTGTGATATACACAATTACAACAGTTGTTACACAATTTTCTTAAATCAATAAAACCAATCATATCAAAGAGATCAGCAGTCATCGAAACATTAGTTATCACAGGCATATTGATAATGCAAATTGTATTACTATAATAAATGTTGATGTAGTTATAAACTCATAAACTATTGCATCAACTATTACAAAAACAGTTGAAACAAGTTGTTTAACAACTATTGCTTCAATTATTGCAACATCTGTTGCAATAAGTAGTTTAACTACTATTGCAACAACAAATAGTGTATTACACTATCGTAAATCCTGTTTACTCTATAAAATATTAACTTATAAAAGCAAAGTGTATACACTATTATTGTATTAGTGTTTATTAGTTTTGTTATAACTGATTATTATTGTAAATTAAATTTTTCATCATCAAAATGGTTGGCAAAACATTGTTTCAAAAATCCATTTTCACCAAATCTGATGGTGAAAACAAATTTGACAAATTTGTTCGTGTATTGGAACACGAAAACGGTGAAAAATTTGTGGACATCCGACTGACTGTTTGCAATGATGGAGAAGATGTCTTCTACACCAAACATGGCGTTTATTTATATGGTAATGAATTCAAAGAATTGTTGAAAAAGATGGAAACCCAAGACTTTGGTTCTTTTGGAGATCTTCGAGTTATCTCATTCATGCATTTGAAAAAACAATTGTATTGTTTTAGTATCATTAGTAATGGTAACATTAAAAAATTAAATGTCATATTCCCTGAAATTGACATTATATTGTCATTAAAAGATGAAATCATTAAATATCTTAATTAAAGTAATTATTGTATATTATAAAACTAATATTGTAATAAATAAACAAAACAAATTAATTGAATAAAATAAATTTTATTAATAAATAAAAAATGTATAATTATTTACATTTTAATATGAAAACAAATAGTAATTTTTAATCCATTTCCACAATAGCTCACACTTGTGTTGAGCGCATCTCATATCAGATTTATCTGGTATGATACGTTCATGAAAATGACATGAACGGCCTCCATACATTCTCTTTAATGTTTTAAGACTAGGACATCTATACTGATTCAATTCAACGTAAGGTATAGCGCACATGTCCAATATATCCGCCAATTGAGAGCACTTAATTCCAATGTATGGCTTTTCTTTGCTTTTGATTTTCTCATACATCTCAATAATAATCTGTTTGGCATCCATTGTTGAGTTTTGTGTTATCTCAATGTTTACTGTACGTAACGATAGTCCCAATAAGTTGTTGGCCAAATAAAGGTTAGTAATCCGATCTTTCAATTCCATGTCTCTATAAGTTAGGTTTGTCTCACACAACTCAGACATTTTACAAGTGTGAGATATTATTGCAATTTCACGAGGTACAAAGATATTGTTATAAACAAAACCTTGTGCGTCCATTACACCACAGATTTGATTAATTTTGCTCATTTTAGAGATTAAGTTTGTTTACTATAAAAAGTAAGTCGTGTTCGTTGTTTAGAGGAAACCCTTCTTCTATAAAATAGCGCTCAATGCGATGTCTATATGTTGACGCAATATTTGCTAACGTACCATTAATTACGTTTACATCAGTCATAACAATAAGAAACTTTTCATTATAAATATCTTTTATTTTAATATATATTCTATAATAATCACTAAAATTTTTATACACATCTGATAAATGACATTTACCAGTTACATAATAATTTGGCAACACAATCATTAATGTGAGGATTAAAACCAAACACAGTTTGGATTTGTTCAAATGATCCGCCATTAAAATAATTAGTTAAAAAATAAATACAATATAATCCACAAGTATTAGAATATACACTTTGAAAATTAATACAGTTGTAATACCAACCGTTTACAGTATTGTCTTTTATAAAATTTAAGATATCATTATGTAGTGGTTGTAAACCAAATGAATCAAAATATATAATGATATCATTATTTGTTTTGTATACACTAACCCAGTGTTCCCCAGGAGAACTAGCTTTATCTGTATTAATAATAACACCACTATCTTTTGGTATAATATTTGGTAACATATCTCTCGGATATGTACCATAATATTTATTACAATTTTTAAAATAGTTATTTATTTGTAATGTATTCATATTTATTGAAAATTTTTAATAGCAAATCTTGAGCTCTCTATTTCTACACAACTATCATATTCGCAGAATATGATTGCAGTTACAGTCTCTTGTATAGGGTAGGCAAACTTTAGTTCAACTCGTAAGTTACCTCTAACCACAGTTGATACATAACCACTTTTTGCTACTCCATCAGATAAATCCGGTGTAAAATTGAATCCAAATAGTGTATAACCTTCAGCATACTCTTCCCGTGTTATGTCAATATCTGTTGAATGTTTGATTTGATTTGCTGTTTCAAATAATCCAAAATATTCACGCATATATTTTTTATTTGTAAAGTCTGGTGTGTATGGTCTGTGTGGATATTGAGTCCCATCAACATAGCAAGCAATGTGTCGGATATTGTAATTTTTAAAATAAAATGGGTTCATATTATATGAACCATTATATGCTTCGTTACTAACAAAACCAATATATATTTTTCTAGGAATCACTCCATTGATGACATTATTTAAATAACAATCTAATGTGTCTTTAGCTATAATTGATGTCTTTACTTCCTTTCGTGTAATAAAATAGCGGGCATTAGCACTTTCAAGTGCTCTATTGTGTGCCACAACTACTTGTGGGTTAACAATAGATTTATGCATAAACAATCTTACGTCCATTATTTCAACTGTTGGTATCAATGTTTTATCATAAATTAAATAAAACTTGGGATCTTGTGGGTAAATTTTAATATTCAGTGTGACCCCTCCAAGTAAAGACTTTACTTGCGATGCTAAATCAATGTGCAAATTGCCATACATTTCGACTTCACACCCGTCAGATAATGAGTTACCTGACGGTCGTATACGACTACTTCTTATCTCATTTACCGAATCCATAGGTGTCTCATCTTTATGCCAAAATGCAGTCTCTAAATGTGTATTTCTAGCATCACTATTACTGTTAAGAAGAGTGTCAATATATGACACATATGAATAATTCACTGATGATGTTGTAACAGTTGTTTGACCAATATTTACATCAATTTGTTTAATAAATGAATGCATTAAATAATTGATTGGAGATATTAGTTTCCAGTCTTCTGCTTTAACTTCAGGTGTTGTTGATACAGTAGACTTTTGTAATTTAAATTTTAAACATAAATAAAGTTCACTTTTGCTTAAGTTAATATATTCATTTAAGCCTGTATGTATTTCAAATTCAATAGTATTTGTTGAATTAGATAATGTACTTATTGGACGGTGTTCAGTTTGAACATCACGTTCAATCATTAGTTGTGTTGGTGGTACTCCAAACACATCCATTTCTGGAAGTGTCATTAGAGATGATAATTCGTGTATTGTAGACATTTTTAGTATTTTCTTTGTTTTTTCTTAACTGTTTTACGTCTTTTATAAGATTTTAGTTTAGTTTTAACTTTACGTTTACGTCCTAAACCTTTTTGTTGTCTAACATTAGAAACTTTATTTTTAACATCTGTTAAAATAGTATCAGCTGATCTTATCAACTGATTTGTGCCGGCTTCTTTGAATGATTTACCAGATAGTATATCATTACCAATACCGTTAAATGCATCCCATCCTTTATTTGCTACATATTTTAATGCAGGTTTAATGTGTTTAAATATTTTACCAAATATACCATTACCGGACTGGTATCTATGCCCAGCATAAGAT